CAAAAAACCCCCCCCCCTTTTAGGGGGGTATTTTTGAAAAAAAAAAAGGGGTGGTTTGGGTAGTCTTTTTATATAAAAAAAAAATGAAAAAAAAACCCCATTCCCTTATAACTTATAAGGTCACAACAGGAGGCGGCCACAAGCTTAGGACGGCTGTAAGGCCTATGAAAATGTTTTGAGTATTTTTATTTTGGAGGGAAGGAAGAAAGGAAGTTTCGTGTCTGCTGTTTGCGTTAAAATTTTAAAAGTTTATCAGACAAGGAAGATGGTGTGCTCTGCAAAGATAAAAACAAAATGAAATGTGTCTGATAAGGAAAGCCATGTGCCATGATGAAACAATCAAATGGGGCGCCACAACTCGGCCAGTGAGTGACACTTCTGTTGCAACTTCATGTTGGTGCCCATTGTAACATACTGGGTAAACAGTGTGACTGCTCATCTCACTTCTAATTTTGTGTGGTCAGAGTTGTTGTGGACCGCCTCCTTCTGCAGCGGCTTAAAATTTGTTACCTACGGGTCAACTTGGGTAAATAGTGAGAAGGACCTACATTCCTGGTAATTTGGAGATCTCTTGAGATGTAAACTAAGCAGCTTTGAGTAGTGTGAGACTATTCTATATGAGCTTCCAATGACTAACTATAAGTGTCTTACTGGAAAAAGTTGAACATTAACAGTAATTGAATAAGAACAGGGGCGGCTCTTGGTTCGTAGAAAGTAGAACTGACCGGCTGTAATTCCCATTGATTACCCCCTCCCCTTAAAACCGTACCCCTTACAACACACACACACACACACACACACACACACACACACACACACACACACACACACACACACACACACACAGAGAGAGTCAGACAGACAATCCATTTTATACCTACCGGTACACCTTTAGGTTTATGTGGTTTTGTGTATGTGTGCGTGTGTATGAGCGTGTGTGTGTGTGTGTGTGTGTGTGTGTGTGTGTGTGTGTGTGTGTGAAAGAGAGAGAGAGAGAGGGGGGGGGGTGTCAACGTATGAAAAGGTTTTAGTAGAAGAAAATCCACACGTTTATAAACTTCAAAACGTTTCAAGACACTGAAATATGGATAGAAAAATGTCTTGATCAACTCAACACGAAACAAGAAACACTACAATAGTATAATAGAGAAAACAAACTGAAAGTGATAAACATCCACTTCCTAGCCCTGGCTTCTTGTACTACTAGTAGTAGTACTACACCCAAAGACCTACTTTCCATACACCCAGATATAGTCTCGACGTGCACTTGTAAAGTAAAAATCCGAAACCTGTGTGACGACAAAATGTCAATTGATACCTTACCAATGACGCTGTCCCATGCAGATGAAGTCTAGAATCGGAATAAATAATAATATACTGTACTAAACACACACACACACACACACACACACACACACAGAGAGAGAGAGAGAGAGAGAGAGAGAGAGAGAGAGAGAGAGAGCGCGCACACAACAATGTCCGATCATATGCAAACGTTCTTCTCTGCATTGCACCTCTCAGTTCTCAGAACACTGATCTAGGTGGGGTACTGTGTTAAATGCTAAAATTATAGACATTGGAGTCTAGCTTGGTTGATGAAGGTGGGAAAGGGGGAATTTTGGGGGTGTATTGTTTGAGGCCCAGATCACTCTGATAGCCAAACGACGAGGCGCTTCTCCTCGTTAACATTCCCTCTTTCCAACAGGGCGGTTCGCCGGCTTTAAAATCGCCGCATCGCGGTTCGGAGAAGGTAGGCCTTTAACTCCTTGACTCCGCGAAGAAGACGACGAATAAAACGCGAAACAGGGTCATGGCTTGCTTACAATTCAACTGGGATAAATTAGAACTTTGTTCACTATCGATGTACAGACAGTTAAAAGGAAAGCATATGTTGAATGCTAAATGTCACTGATGAAAAAATGTAAAAGTATGTTTTGTACTGCAGACCTGTCCTTCTTTTATAAGTAACAACAGAGAGGCCAACTGGAAATATTATATTAGAAGCCGTCTTTGCACTCTGTGGGCAAAAGATGAATTCAGAATTCGCCGGGACGACTAACATCACCACTGAGCATGCGGTTTTTGGTGACGTCCAGTGTGACAGGGGGGGGGGGGGGGGGGGCGATTTACATAAAAGTTACGACAGGCGTGATAAACAATGATAAAGGAACCAATGTCTGCAATGCGACAACACACTACAAGTAGTCGAACCCCTTATATCTCTTTGAGCAGAGGCGAAGCGTCTATATAATCAAATAATCACTGCTTCCCTTCCTAATTTTGAAACGTTGTAGCAGTCAAATTCACCCATAAACGTAAACCTTATAAATACATGTAAAAAGACGTTCATAATCAACAATGAACAGTATGCCTAACATTCAAAACGGTTTCACTGCCACCGAAATAGCTTGCTCACCCCTCTCGGGCCACTCCATAAGCAGTCACAAGCTTTGATTAAATAAGCTTAAAGTGGGGCTGGAAGAGTCTACCAGTAGAGTTGAAGGGAATACGTGCATAGCAGTCAATACTGTTTCATTGCCACATATACCCTGTTCACCCCTTTCGGGCCACAGTTATAAATTCAGTCGTAAGCCCTGATTATGTAAGTGAACTATTACACTGGTCGAGTCTACCTTACAGATGTGAGGGGCACTAACTCCTAATAATCTCTTTACTGCTGCCTGTGCTTCCTTTTTTTCCTCGACTTTTTAACGTCCTATAATCAGATCGTGACCTCGATTATGACACCGGCTCCTGGCCGCGAAAAGCTAGACAAAAAACAGCCAAAAGTGAAATTAAAAAAAATGATAATTGTCATGTTCTACCAAAGAGTTAGACTCCCTGGTATCTCTATAACATATTATAGATCTAGTACTGACATCTCTGCTTCCTTGCTTTGGGTTTGTGTATTCACTTCTAAAGTTAGATTTAATATTAGTTGGAATTGATATTTAATGAGATACTTTCCCGATTATTTTGGCAGTTGAATTCCGGATTTGTTTTCATTCACACAACTTAAGAGTCACCACCTTGAGTAAGATTCTTGTGTGATATCCCCAGGCCATAATATCTGGTTCCATTTCACTTTGATTACCTTGTCAAACAAGTCAGCCCTCGCCCCTGTCTTTGAGCGTCTTCAAATTGGCAGAGTGTTTTTTGAACGTTGAGAAATAACATTAATTTCATTTACTTGAAACTAAATAAACACCGCTATTAGTTATAAGTCTCTTGTATTGTCCACTGTACAGCCGACAAAAAGTGACCGGCGCCGCTAGTCTTGTCCACTGAAAAGAACCACCCTTGAATAAGATATGTAAGTATAAGAATATTGAAAGGGGGTAAATGTAGATCTAATACTCTGGTAAGTCATTAAGATGGGAGGGATAAATCTAATCATATATCAAATTTAATCCAAGTATAAATTTTAAAAAGAAAGGTTTAGTGAAGTCAGGCCAATAATGGAGGATTTATAACTTTTGACGCTTGTGGAGTGTGTCCTCGATATCAAGAACATTATGGACAGAAAATGAAAACAGTTAATTAAATGCCTGAGAACATGTATCTGTGAAGGAAAAACTTGTTTGAATTCTTAATGAGCCTTTTAAAGAAAAGGAAGAAAAAAAACAGCTCAAAAGAACAAACGAATATTTTTGTCGTAATTGCATTTTTGTCATAATTAATTTACGATTTTTTCTCCCATTTTTTTTACTTTCTTTTTTTCTTCTGTACTTAAAGAAACACATGATATTTGGTAACGGACAACTTTTCACAGTCGACACCGCTTTTGGAAACTAAACATCTATTTCCGGTTTACAGGTTTACAACTTCCGGCTAGAATGATTTTATAAACAATTTCTTGTTTGTGTTTGGCGTTTGGAGCACGTTAGGTTGTTGTGGATCAAGGACTGATTTTTGTGTTTTGTATAATAAGAGTTGCTCTTTAAAACCTTCAAGATGGGGAAAGGTTTTAATAATTATATGACTAAAAAGTTTTTTCATCCAGCGAGTAAAGACAACATAAAACGTGTAAGTAAACTGACTGAATGCGTGTGGGATGAGTGAGAGTGAGTGTGACTGACTGACTGAGGAAAGCTGATAAAGTGAACAGAGATTCCGAGAACCGCATTGAATTACATAATAGACTGTTGAAGAGCCTGAGAAATAATTTAGAAGACTAAGTATTTTTTAGATTAATGAACAATGTTCTCTAGGCTAGGCAACATGTTTGGCAGTGAAAGGTATTAAATTATATAGCTGTAGAATTTGTTGTTAAAAAGATCTCAATTTTGTGTCATGTTCAATATTGGTGGAGTTTGATCTTAAGGGAGGCATTAATTTTAGGATTTGTCTTGGTTGAGTAGTTCTGTTCTTTAGCACATAAATTGCATATAAAGTGTTTTTTTAATTCATGTTGGCAGTTGTCTGAAATGACTCTTTTATGTAAGTAATGGGCTAGAACTTAACCTCACTGCTGTTTGTTTCTCTTTGGCTTTATAGAAATGGATGGCAGAACAGAAAACAGCGTTTGAAAAGAAACAACAGGAGGATTTGCTAGCACAGTATCAAAAAGAACAGGAAGTCCTGAGCAACAGGTAAGTTTTACTTTCTTGGCTAGAACTTAATAGAGTGGAAGAGACTATTTACTTCATTTGAGATGAAAGTTAGCAATGCTACCCACAGCATGCCATGCCGGCACTGCAATTATACAGTAGACTTGCCACAGCCAAGGCTAAACCTAGGAACATGCAAATTAATCACACCTTATGTATAACACACCAATATGTGAAGGAGAAATTTGAGAACTCACAGAAGTAATTTTTTCCCCCATTTTCAGTGACGGTTGAGTTTTTATTGAAGAAAAAGAATTGATTGGTGGTGAGTCCATAACCTGCCAAATGGCACTGTAATTTTCTGACTCTCTGTATTCAGAGGGGCTGCGAAACATCTGAATATTACCCAAGCTCCCCTAAATTTGGCAGCCACTGAGAAGAAAGACTGATCTTCACATTGCAGGCTTCTGTTAGAGAATACAAGGGAAAAGGAAGTAACGAGGTGGTTGTTTTTGAATGGTACACATCTGATCACCATGCAGAATCTGAATGCACATCATCTACATCATCGCCGAAAGGTTAAACTTAATATTTTAGATAGCTGTGGCATTGTTTGAATGTGAATGTAAAAACATGTTGCATACTCATTATCATGTTTTCTGCCACTTGCATCTAGTTTTGCTCAATATGTTTAGAACTTTTCTCTTTAAATTAAAAAAAAACTGTTTGTACTCTCAATGAATGGCCTGTTTTGCCCTTTCTGAAATGATACAATGATTTGATGTATCCAAGGCATACATTTAGAAAGCCTGTATAGTACATGAAAATTTGGTATTATAAGTTGTAATTTTCATAGCTAATTCTGTTCTATCACATGCTCTGCTCAGTGTACAAATCAGTGTGTGTGTTTTTTTACCTCTTGCTTTCTTTTGCCTGTTACTATGGACTGAAGGGGCTTTTAGTCTTTAAAACAGGCCATTATGTATGACAATATAAATATTCAATTTTGTAGCCCAGCATTGTATTATTGTAGAAGTAGATTTTTGGTTTGATATAAAAATTGTTCAAAGAAATTTCTGGTTTACTACACAAAAAACGATTAAAAAACTGTAACATTATTATTATTTTTGTTGTTGTGAAGACATCAGTCTCTTTTACACAATTTATGTCTAAAAACAATATGATTTGAAATTCAGTCACCAGCATCTACTGTGATGTAGCTGTTAGGTGATCCGCTGTTCAGGGAGAAAATTTCCTAGTATCTTGGTCTTTCTATATGGGATATGGTATTCCCCTCAGCCCGGGTTGGCCCTGACAAGTTGCCCGCCTCCTGAATGATCTAAATTGTAATTGTATTGATGGAGGCATAGAAAACACCTACATTCTCATTCAAATCGAAAATTCAGCGTGGAGCTATGTTTATTTTAACAATATTTTCCTTTGCTATTTGCTGTTTTACAGAGCCCTCCTTGGAGACGAGAAGGCCAAGCTTGGACTGAGCTTCTTGTATGATGCACCACCCGGTCTGAAGAAAAAAGAGGTAAAATGAAAAGATAGGTTTGGTTACTTCTGTTGAAGGTTCCCATTCTATCGGGCAAATGGAAAAAAACCCCTCAAGAATTTCATTTTCAGCTTTCATTGTTGGGAAAACTTCATGAAACTATTTGGAAAAAAAAGAAAAAAAAAAGGAACACAGCAGGAAGATTAAACTGAGTAATTAAAAATAGCCTATCACCGAAAGTTTTCTTAATTTTTGCCTTTTTGCGTGGCCCTGCTAGATCTCAGGGGTAATTGACTGCTGATTTTTTTTACATGTGTAGCTGTCTCTCCTTATTCGTATGGTCCTTTGCTTTGAGGCAGCCACATTCTTTGAAGATGCTTGACATTTTTTATGCTGACAAGGGTATTTTCAGTTTTAGTAGGAACTAATTTTGAATTTTGCTCGAATAGTGCCTGAAGCCTACTATTACTACTGATTTTTAAGACCACCAAGGTTTTTTAACCTGGCAACTTGCACCCAGGACCTCCTAAGATTCACATTCTGAGAAGCATAGAGGTGTATTTGATCTTGCTTAGCCTAAGATCAGGAGTGTGCTGTAAAGACAGCAGTAAGAAGGAGCCAGGTGTATCATTAGAAAGAGTCAGAAGTAAAGGGGAGAGGAGCCCACTTGAGGCCAGGGATGGGGGGAGAAAGTGGAGAGGAAAGCAGATGACAGAACAGGACCAGAGAACAGGTAAAGAAGTGAAAGGAGAACATTTTAGAGAAGAGAATTTTTCCAGCCCTGTCAGGTTTTGATCCTGGGACCTTTTGAATGAGAGGCGAACACTACCTCTTGACCACGAGAGCCCTGTTGATTTCTTCTTGATTTGGGCCTTTTTAATATCATGTGTTGATTGGTCAGTATAATATATTAACAGGGTGATTGCTGCTGCAGGAATGCCCCGGGAAAATAAATTTCGGTCCATTTTGCAGAAGAAAAGCCAAGGGTATATTTATGAAGCACATGTGTGCATGTCCTAATGTTTGAGACTCAAACATTTAAAAAAACTAAATTGTATGTGGGAAATTTGTAAGGTAAAAATATTTCTGACATTTCTGTACAAATTTTGGAATAGAATTAAAATAAATCTGTGGGTTGCAATGTATACTTCAAATATTTGAAATTATGAAGTTGTGGAACATGGTAGATAAACATCACATTAAAAAGGAATGAAGCTTTGAAAAGACTTTGTACATTTGCCTGCCATCCATAAAATTTTCAGAATTCCCTAATAAATATGCAGAGAACTTTCTGCCTTTCATCACTGCCAAAATAATTTAGTTCTCAGAAATTGTTGTAGTCAAGTGTGACAAAGTCTTGAAAGTTTTGCAAAGTTTATGAACCAATACTCACCACTTTTTTCTAATGTGAAGTTTGAAATATTTGTGCAGGAGTCTGAGGGTCAGCAACAGGAAGTGAAGTTTGAGTGGCAGAGAAAGTACAACGCTCCCCGTGAGGCGTAAGTTGATTGTTTTCTGTTGTGCTTTATCATTCAGTTGTTATAACTATTTGAATTACAGTGGAACTCTGATTCAACGAGGTCGTTGGGCCTGATCTAAAATCTTGTTGAATCCGAGTGTTCCGTATAGCAAACACGAGGTTTAGTGCAGATAATTACATGCACTGAGCAAGTAATGTATAAAGAGAAGTCACAAGTAGTGCCTGAAATGCCTGCATATTATGAGCTGTGTAAAAAAAAAAGACCGATTCGTTCAAATACTCAAGCCTGTTTCATCTCGATTGTTTACCAAGAAAAAGTTGTGTTGCTGTGTAGAGCCGAGCATATGGCAACTTTTGATTCCATAGACCAGCGCACAATTCAGTACGTAGATCTACGTCAAGACTAGCTTATTATTGTAATAATGATCAGTTGCCGAGGGAAAAAAAAAGACTGACACGTTTGTATATGCGACGTTCAACGCCCGGACCGCTAGTGGCCCCCTACCCGACACGCAGACACAGCCACACGTGTGCAGGCCGCCCATCCAACCCCGACACACGCCAGAGTAGACATGTACGCGTGCCAACAACACACATGTTGGTATTTAAAAAGGCCGCTGATTGGTCGCATGCAATCGGCTAAGTGAATAATGGTTCATGATGCAGGTGCAATGGATGGTTTCTGGGAATAGATAAAGTTTGTTCTGGGAGAAAAATTAGCAAAGTTTGTTCTGGGAGAAAAATTAGCGAAGCCACGTCTGCGGGGGCTGTTCACCATGGAAGCGACCTCATTGAATCCGAGCTGGCTGATTTAAGTGCTCGTTGAATTCGGGTTACTTTTATTGATTTTAAAGAAGGAAAAAACAGGGAATCTATCTCATCTTGTTGAATCCGAGTTATCGTTGAATCTGAGCTTGTTAAATCCGAGTTCCACTGTATTGCAAAAAGGTTAACAGTATAATTTGATTGTGTTTTTACTCTTATACATGTTGCAGTTGCTTGTATTGTAGGTGTGCACTCTCGATTTGCATTCCATTTGCTTATTTAATGGTGTACTCTACTGTGGTCTTTTCTGTTTGTTAAGTTATCAAAGTTGGCTATTCGGTTTACTGAATGTTGGCATATATCTTTTTTGTTGTGTTCTTGAATTAAGAGGCTTTGAACCTTTTTTATATGCAAGTTTTATTCAAGAATACAAAATAGTAAGACCATTTTGGCACTCATACAGGCGATGTAAAAAACCCAAGAACATGTAACATAATTAGTAGTTCGACCATTGCTCCCCCTTTGCTGACTTGAATTGTACAACTTTTTCTGTGTGTTTTCTGCAGATATGCGAAGGATGATGACACTATCAGGGACCAGCCATTTGGTATTGAGGTCAGAAACGTGCGCTGCATCAAGTGTCGACAGTGGGGTCACGTGAACACAGACAAAATCTGTCCTCTCTACAGCAGGAACTTGACGGCAGAACCAGAAATGCGTTAGTAGTTGTTTCCATAATTATTGTTTCAGTAGGTTGTTCATGGTTGCTCCAGTGGGGTTAACTTCTGCTTCTCACACGTCTCTTTTTCAATGTTACTGGGTTTTTTGTTTTTTTTTAATTTATAAAGTAATCTTTTACTCTCCCTTCGTTGTTTCTTTCTCTGTGTTGCAGTTTTGATATGCTTCTCCACGTCTTGTCGTGAGGTTCTTAGGAAATTACAGCAGTGCTTTCCTGTAGCCTATTGCCTGTTTATGTTCTGTTTTCTCTGCTCACCTTTGTCATACACTGACAATCCTCAAGGCAATTGTGGGTTTGGTAGGATCTATGGTGCCTCCTGTCACCATGATGGTCTCCTCTTTGAGTATTTGAGGTCTTTATTGAATCCTCTCTGCAACACAGGTTTTTCTCTGCTCTTGACGACCTTCTCCCATTTGGTTTATAACTCTTTAGCAGCCATCTGGAGGCCATTCCCCTGTCCACCACCTGGGAACATGGTGGGTTGGGTATGGGGACTTGTACTAAGTCTTTAGTACCTCCTAGGAATTAAGAAGTGACAAATGCCGTTTCTGGGACACTTGAAAAAACTTGAACATCTTGTTCTCACAGGAAAAATAGAAGGCAAACAAGACAAAGGTAGATCAAGAGAAACTTATTTAGAAAACCTGAACAGATGGGTGATGGGGAAATACCAGGATAATAAAGTTGTTTTTTTTAGAGCATCTGAGCATGAAGAAACATGATTGCCGATATCTGTTTCAGATCTGGCACTTAATAATGATGATGCTTCTATGGACTCTTTGTTCAAACATGAAATGTGGCAATTTTTCTGCCTGCTTTCTGTGAAGTACGAATCAGCAAACTTGTACGCATTGTTTTTGAAGAGTTGATTTTCCTCAACTTAGGGATGAATTTGAATTTAACTGATAATGTTTTTCTGAAGTGGACACAAAAGTCTTTTATAGATGTAAGGCTCTAGGTTTTTTTTTTATTACACCAATAACGTCTCTGAGTTTGAAAATGTTGTGGAGACATTTTACCGAAAAATGATATTCAAGATAATCTCTATTTTTGTGCAAGTTGAAAATATTATATGCTGTCATGTCTTGAGTGCTATTGCTGGTCGGTCAACACATGTATCTCAAACTGTAAAAACATTCAAAAGTTTTCATGTTGTATTGAAGATGTAGGCGGTTGGCAGGTGCTCTGGTGTGGTTTGCTCTTTTTTTTCTTTCATATGTCTATCATCCTTTTCTCTCTTCCTTCTTTTTTTTTATGTTACTCTCTTGTAGTAACGCCTCTAATCATCGGCACTGAAATGATCTATTTGTATTGCAAGTGCCGTAAAAATTTTAATAATACTAAAACTACCTTGAGATAACGTTCATTAGTTTTTCATTATGATGAAGTCTCAAAGGCCTACATTCATTAGTTTTGTGTTATTGGAGGTCACTGACCCTTATATTCTCTTTACTTTGTCACAGCGGAGACCAGCAGCTCTGGTATACTGGATGGCCTACGTGAAGATGGCTTTGCCATCAAGGACAGTGTGCTGGGACGTATGATGGGGTCAGAGCCAGAAAGACACGTATGTATATCTCATATTTTCGCTGCAGTGTGTGGAATGTTTGTCTTTCAATGAATGCCTAGTTCCACAGTACTGATCAGTCATTGCTACTGCTGTTGATACATTACTAGGATTACAGAGCGCTGAGCGAAGTGTTAATGAGTAGTGTTCAATGAACATCTATGCTTATTGAAAAAAAATGTTGCTTCTTTTGTTATGTTTCTTTTCTTTAATTCCTCGTAAGGTTTTAGATTTAAATGTTTCATGATTATGCAAGAGCTTTAACATTTTTCACTCCACTAATGGTTAGTTAAAGGAGCCAAATGTAGCGGTCATGACTCATACGCTAATATTACTGTCGAACATTCTCTAAAGGCCACCTGTATAAGACAATCACCTGTACAAGTGGCCACTTCCCATTTTCCCTCGTGCATTTTCTTACATTATAATGACACTTCGTAAGATGTTCACCGGCCTAAGATGGCCACTTTTCTCTGTGTGGGTGGTCTTCTTAGACAGTTTGGACTGTATTTAGATTCCCTTTGTTGAGACCTACTGTCATTTTTGCTACTCTCTTCATCTGTTTTATTTAAGAAGTTCATACATGGTCATATTTTAATCAAATAGAAACGAGCTAATGTAAAGGTGTTGGCAAAAAATGTGAAATCTGACTCTTTTGTTCAACAGCACAAGATCCTGGCTCAAGAAGATGAGGAAGATCCAGAAGTGAAGTTCCTCAAGTCCCTTACGCCCAAACAGAAGAAGAAACTGTTGAAGTAAGTGATTTGCTTTATTTGTTTGGGATTGTTTAGTTTTGACTTGTGGCATCTAGGCTCTCATTGTTTGGACCAGTGCCACAATGTGGAAGGGACAGATGTATTACGACTGTTAAATTGTTTTCAGCTTGCAGCATTGTTAGGGTATGGCTCCGAGGAAAGAGGTTGATTTTTTTATGTCTCTGAGGGCAAAGCCGTAAGGTAGATGATATTTCAATAGTCTTCAATGGTATCCACACATGTGGACCTATGTGATTATGTAGATGTACCTTTGTTGAACCATGGCCTGGTATTGTGGACACCAGCTACAGGTTCCCAGGTGGTGGTGGGGGGGCTTCTGGTATGTCCTACTTCTTTAATTTCCGTATGTTCTTTCTGTCTGTTTTACCCTTTTCCAGCTCTAAATGAACATTATAGTGTCAATATGCTACTCTTTACTGAAACAATGAAACAGACAAGGCTACATGTTGGGTATATAAAAATTTTTTCATACTAATGCATAGTAGGTGGGGAAGAGTCTCAGTTTACGCTTGATTTTGATGGGACACTAAGCGATAGCACGAGTAATAGTGGAAGCAGTAGCAGAAACATGTGCAGCTGAGTGACAAAGTGATGTTGGATTGTGAACAGTAGCTTGTAGAATATGCAGCAAAAGAAATAGCAGCAATTATTGCAAGCGTAGTGATGAAATCAGTGCTCATCAAAATGAAATTGAAGAAACCGACATTTTACTCCCCGCTGGGTAATTTTGATCAATTCCCCCTTTTTTTTTGCTCAGCATCTTTTATGTGAATTTAATAACACATTTCTGTATAGATTTTACTGTAAAACATTGATCAACAGCATAAAAAATGTAAATTTGTTGTTTCCAAAGACACTAAAGCTTTGGAAGTGACCGAACTTTGGTATCTTTTTTTTTCTGCCTATTTTATCTCTGACACAAGGCAACCCCCACTCCCTTCAATTGCAAATATCTTGGCTTCTGTTCAAGGTAGATGTTTTTTTGTTTTGTTTTTCACCCAAAGCTAGACAAATGAACAAGCTTTAAAGGTGGTGTACCGATAACTTTATATACCCAAAAACTGACGAGCACCTGACTTTAACCCTTCATGCCCACAGGGCGGTTTGAATTTGAGACAATTGTGGGAAACAATTTGATCAGGCTTGTTGAGAAGAGTTTTTTGACAAACCCGGACGAATGTCTGAGAAAGCAGTCCTGCCTATATAAAGAAAATATAGACCAAGCATTTCAGTTGGGGAATGACATGTTGTATGATTTTTCACATGACTTTGAATTTGGCCTGTTCGTGTTATCTGTGCCAGACTATACATATACTTTATTTTTAATAAGTCTCTGATTTTTGTTTTTGCATTGATTCAGGAAGCTGAACAAGCTGCAGTCTTCCTCTGGCAAAGAGAAGAAAAAGAAGAGCAAGAAAAGGAAATCACAGTCTGACAGCAGCGACTCAGAGTCTTCAGGTATGTTTGAAGTCTGATGGAGTTGATAACCTAGGCCTGTAGATTAATAGTTTTGTGTGCTTTATTGTCCAGTTCATGTAGCATGACAAGAAAATTTTTTTAAATATAAAAAATTGATAAGCTTATAGTGAGTTGTGATTGAAACGGTACAGGTTTACTGCCCTCTTTAATAACATAATAATAATAATAATAATAATTTATAATAACAATTGCATTTTTGCCCATATCCCTGCGCAACAGCTTGCTCTTTGTACTTTACAACTATTGTTATCTCAGCAGACCTTAGAACACTCAGAAACATTTTGGGCGTCGGAAAAGCATACTGTGCTAGCAGCCAGCCATTAAATTGTTCGAACACTAAGAAACTGACAAGATCTTTTGCCATCTGTAGCTGGATAGCCATTCCCATCATAGTTGGGTGAGGAAAATTTGTTTAAAGTGCCTGTTCCCAAAGACACAATGTCAGGCCCCTGATGGGTTTCGAACTCATAACCTGTTGGTTTTGATCCCAACAGCCTAGCAACTAGATCACTGACTCCATGCAACGTTATAAATGATAACTGCAGTGTTAGGAATTCATATTACACACTTAAAATTATACAGTTGAACCTGCCTTAACGGAAACCTGTATAAAACGGAAACCTGTCTTAACGGAATCTTCCCGCTACCCCTTGATTTTTTCCTCTTTAATTACCTGTATAAAATGGAAACCTGTCCAACGCGGAAACGGCAAAAAAAATCAGCTCCCTTCCGAGGGTTTCACCTGTCTAAGATGGAAAATGCTTTGCCCGCTCAGCACTGATTTGAAATAAAACTCGCAACTTTGGTTCTGCTGGCTCTAAACTTAACACCACGGCCATACCGCTGGGCGAGGAAGGGGAGTAGGGGTGCAATTGTGGGTAAATGTTACCCTAGACATGTTTCCCCATCGTGTGAACCCTAAGCGGTGCAGATGGTCAGGGAAGTGAGGGTGTGAAATCTCACGACTGCCTGTGAGAGTGCTCGAGTACCGAGCCACTACAGAAACTTTCTTGGGTAGCCAGAAGCCAGAGGTGTAAAATTAGACTGACCAATGTCTGCCGCCCTTATCGTAGGCCAGCCGAGAAAAGCGTTCCTCGAATCGTTGTTACATGATGGCAGTGAGGGGTGGCATTGGTTGACTGTGCTTGTTACACTGATGGGTGGGGCTAAGGGCGGAAGCAAAGGAGATGTTCAAACATTTCTGTGTTTAATAGGTCAGACAGTGGTCCTATGAAAGCCAAGCACTGGTGGTAATTGGATTAGTAAGACTGACGCATGTCATAGCAATGGAGAGATGTGAAGTTTTGACCACTGCTTACCGATCTGACAAGCGATCCTTGATCCCATCGGCTGGGCCTCTGAACTTTCTCCAAGTGCCCAAAACTTCTGGAATTTGTTTATAGTCATGATGGCTGCTGTGGTGATACAGTTGATAATGAGCTTGTGCAACAATTGGAGGTTTGAGACTGAACAGATGTGGAACTTTGTCATCTTTTTTTGGTGAAAATCTCCCCTCAGCTCTGTACGTTTTTATTTCCCTTGGCACGACTTGTTTTATATTTAGTAGGGTTTTTGACTTTCACAAAATCAAACACTATGTTATTCTTTGGTTGCTTTTATTAAATGCAAACTCTCATCTATATCTCTGCCTTTACCTTTTTGTTTTCAGATGGTGAGCTGGTACGGAAGGATGCATCTCACAAAGTGAAAAAGTCAAAAGGGTCATCCCACAAACACAAGAGGAGAGAGAGGAGTGATTCGGAGGAAGAGGAGGAGGAGCCAAGGAGAAAGCAAAGACGAGACCACAGGGAGGAGAGAAGAGAACAGCACTCGCATGGAGGTAGTCGTGACCGCTCCAGGAGCAGGGAGAGAACTCACAAGAGACACAGGTCCCCGGATCACGACAGTAGAAAGAGGAGACATGACAGAGACTGATGGTTGATTCCTAGTAGTTGTCATGAGTTGATTTTTTAGAGAAAGGAGGGTGTATTTGTTAGAGTAAAAGATCTATTGGAACTTCGATCAGGAGAATTGAAAGATGAGAGATAGAAAGACTTAACATTTTAGATTAAGATTCACGGAGTGATCAGAAGTTGATGTTTGAGTTTGGAAAGCAGGAGGGTTTTGTTAAATGAGACAGAAGAACAATTAGAGTCTTAATTGAGAAAGTTGAAAGAGGTGTTGTAATGAATAATCAATGAATTTTGAGTAATGTCCATGTTATTATTGATTTTTTTTAAAGGAATGAGGTTTTCATTTATTTAAGTTGAACAGGTATTAGAACAGATTGGGATGGTTGAAAGATGAGATGTGATAGAGATTTTTCTTGCAAAGTGATACTTAATACTTTACGCTAAAGTTATGATGTGAATACACTGCTATATATTCTGACTCACAGATGATGAAGTGTTGGGCAAGAATTCCTAGTATTGGGCAGAACAACTATTCTGAGAAGTCGTCTTTGAAATTAAGAATTGACTCCTCACTCTCAAATTATATTGAAGAACGGCAACAGACTTAATTTTTCTTAGTCACGAGAAGAAATTGATCTGGTCAAGAGTTATAGTCTCCACTCTATTAGTGACTGTGTTGCCACATGTAGATATTTGTGTAAAAACGTGTTGTAATAATTAATAAAGACATCAATGTGTTTCCGCTTTTTGTTATTTGTTGATGATGAAACGGTTACTTGATGGGTTCCGTGGTAGCATGTGTTGTATGCCAAGTTTGGGGGGTAAAAAATGTGCTCTGTCTTTTCCTGTGTCCAGGCTGCAAGCAGCAATGGGTGAATTAATTTTCTTTGTCACTAAACTTGTTTTAAGTCTCCTCTGCAGTGTTAGGAATTCCTATAACTATAATAACACATTATTAGCACTATTAGACTGAGAAAGTCTCAAATTTTTTTCAGTTCAAGAATTATTATATCTAGTAGGTATTGTCGTGGAGTTTTTCATAAAAATTCGGGGCTTGAATGAGTAGATGATTACGAAACTAAAGATTTTCACAAATTTGTGACTACAGAGATGAGTTTTCTTTCTTGAAAGTACATCTCCTAAGTAAAACGATCGACATGTTGCTTCATAGGTAGACTTTGGAAGACACTACTTGCAGGTCCTTCTGAAACTTAATCTACTTTTTGGTCTTCGTAGAGCTAACTTGTAAAAAGTTGTTGATCCTGTCAATGAAACTACTCTCCCCACCCGAGTCAAATTCAAGATGAAAATGAATTCTAAAAAAAAAAAAGAGTGCAAATTGTAACTGTGATAGGTTTGAAGAGCATGTCTTCGAGGTCTGTGTGCAATCAAAATATGCAGTGAGAGGATCGTCGGTACATGTACAGTCATTCATTCTTGTATAATTTCAAATGCTAAGCATTTGTCTTGCAGCTGTAGTCAAAATAAGATATTTTAGGTGAGTGTATGGTGGCATGAACTTGCAGTTTTTTAAAATATTTTTTTTTAGATTTTCTTTTCTCGAGTTCCATTAGCATTGTTTTAATTTCTCCTGGTAAAATTGTTCATTCCAACCTCCAAGTCAGCTGGATTCTTACACTGGCATTTCTGCTATTGTGATGAGTATGCAAAATGATGGTTGTTTACATTTTATAAAGCCTTGAATTTTTGGTCCATTGTCTGGAAAAGTCATCAGGAACTCAGGCTGATGCTCATTAAGGAAAAACAAAATGATGTCCGGAACACTTTAATATGTTTTTCAATATGACATGTAGGATGAAGGCAGGATAAAAAAATGACCATCAAATACATTTTCTTTTTTCTGATTTTATTTATAGATTAGGTCAAGCATTTGGCATCAGAGGGACTAATAAACATTTTGAAACAAAATTCAATATCAATTACAACATCTCAATGTACTAATACAAACATGAGTATTCACAAAAAAGCACTGACTCCACTGCTGTGAGCACATTGTATTGAAAACATAAAAAAGAAAAACTGCAAAGAGTAAGTACAGGGTGCTTGCAATTACAAATAGAGATCTTGGCCACTGTGCACATAAAAGTTTCTTAATGATGCTAACTTCAGTTCTGGGCACTCTTTGTTGGCATGCTCTTGCTTGACCAGTTTCAACTGACATAGCCCTCGCATGAACAGCTTCAGTGGCTGTGAACATTATGTCAGTAAGAACAGTTCTCAACTACAAGTCAGTTTGTTTTCCTTCGTGATAAAACAGTGATTAGCAAAACACTAGCACTAAAGCAATACACCAGCAATGTCACACTTGATGCTCACACCCACATCCCTGGCAGTTTGGAGCTCCCCTGAGATGTGAACTGAGCTCCTGTGAGTAATGTGAGACTATGATATATATGAGCTTCCAATGACTAACAATAAATGTCATACTGGAAATAATTGGCAGGGTGTTGAATAAGACTTAAAGAATACGGGTAGAAAGTAGATGCAATAGTAACTGTGGTATAACAAAAAAAGAGTCTTCCAGTGTACAAAACCAACAATATAGAGATGAATTGCAGTCGGTCAAAATGATTTTGAGGATAGACACTGTGATGATGGTTATGAAGAAATAAATACTACACTTTTATTTGTTTTACTTTGGCATAATATGATGGTTCTATTGTTTTAGCACATTAAGTAACGCAGGTGTGAGTCAAGGTAGACATGGGACTGGGTCAGGGCCCATGCTTTGATAGATGCATACCCTTTTTGACAAGTAAATAAAAGACGTTAGAACTGAAAAGCAACATGATGAAATTTATCAAGTACAATCTGATCTTACTGAGAGAAAAAAATAGCTCTTGACATTTTTGGTTCATCTTTTATTTTCTGTGACCATTTGACCATATTTTTTTCTGTGATAGATGGTTTTGTTCTCCAGTTCTCATGAATTTTGGGGTCTTCAAATTAATTAATAGATTAATTAAGCACTTAGTTGCATTTAACTGAAAATTTCGTACATGTAGTATGTAGGCCTACTACTATGCTGTTGTAGACTGTCTTCAAGTAACTATATCTGTTGTGTTCCATAAGAAACAATAGAAACAAGGACCTTTTAAGTGTCAGAGCGGATGATGCAAGTAAACTTTGAGTGCCTTTTACTGCAAGTTCCATAATACATGTATATGACTTTTCTTTAACAAAGCTTTGGGAAGAGTTTGTAATGTTATTTCTGAATTGCATGGTAGTATTGGAAGTCATATGTGTCAAAAACTTTTGCTATAAAGATGTGAGGGGCCAATTTCACAATTCATTATTAACTATGTAACCATGACTAACACCTACCGACACTGAAGTTTTACACTCAAAGAGCTTGCTGCATGCAAACTGTTCTAGTTAGTAACCATGTCATTATTTTGATTGTTATTGTAAGAAAAATGAACATACAAAAATTGGCAAAACATCCTGATAACTGTATATATATCTAATTGTCATTGTATACAATTACAAAGATTGACAAAAGTAAGCATAGTTTTGTATGGCACCATTGTCAAGTAATGAAGTGAAATAGAATTCTAGAATTAGGGGAAACCTTAACAATATGTTTTTCCTTTTCTTCCAAGCAATATTTGCAAAAAATTTGTTAAAATATAGTTGTTTTTAATGCCCCCACTGCCACAAGGTAATTATTTAGGAGGTGAGTTTCCAATCATGCCTGTCAGGACCAACTTAGGTGAGAGAGATACAACATCCCAGCAGAAAGGCTGAGCCACTCATCAAAAAATTTCTTCTCACCTCAGGTCTCCTGTGTGTGACAGCAAAGCGTTTAATCACTACACCACAGACGCCGGTGCAGGATTTGTGACATGAGAATGAGAGACATAGACAAGGACGGGCAGTGTTGTGTATTCTTCCCCTTATCTTTATTGAAATGTCTTCTTCTGAGGGGCAAAGCTGTCTGCGAGAACAACATGACCTCAACACAGAACTTGGTAAAAGGGAAAAGAACTATAGTGCAGTCTAAAATTTGTGGCGCAACTTATCCTCAAATATCTCTTCAACAGGTGAATCAATGTCACCCATAATTTGCACATCAGTTTGTATCAATTGTCTTAACTAAATCATATTTTTCCACAACAATTGAGGCTGGATTAAAAACCTTTTTTTTATAAATTTATATAAAATGCTATAAATCTCCATCATGCGGAAAATGGGATAGTTTACAGCACTTCCCGCTCCTCGCACACATTTTGCATGTGCATATATGGCCTACGTTACAGCTCGCCAGTGACACTTTACGGTTGCAAAACTTTTTACTAGAAATTTATTTTATAATGAACACATTTTTTTCACTAAAGGTTCCCTAAACATTCATTCAATATAAGCATAATGTTGCTTGTTACAGAAAAATGTCAGCCGTGCTTTTAAAAGTGATATCGCCAGAGCTGTAAACTTTTAAAAATCTGTAGAAACCATCGACTGGGATTTTGTATTAGTATTTATTAAGGAATTTTCTAGAATACAGTGTGCAGGAGTTTGAAAAAATATTCACCGGTTAAGACAAATTGATATAAGTCATTGTGCAAAAGTTGGATAATGTATGTTCGACAGTTAAGGAGATATTTGACCATAAGTGGCGCCATGCATTTTTGACTGCACTATAGAAAAGTGTGGCAAATGAAACTAGGAAGTCTAGACCAATTTCAACATAAAAGTGGAAAACTTAAATAAATATATGTGAGGCATCATGGTGAAATCAGGCGCTCGTCAAAATAACGAAATTGGACAATCCTTCAGCCACTTTGGAAATTTTTACCCAATGTTTATTTTTTGGTCTTTTAGGTTCATATAAAAACACATTTCTGTGTGAATTTTATTGACAAACATTGATTAAAAATACATATTCTGTCATTTTTCAGTATTCATAAACTTTGGGGGCCATTTTCTCGCCAATTTCACGACCGACATTAGGCGACCTCTCTTCCTTCAATTGCAAACTTCTTGAATTCTATTCAAGATAAATGGACATTTGTTTCATTGGAAGCAAGGCAAATAAATCAGCTTTCTGAGGATAGTAATAAATCCACATGCCCAAAAATTTACGAGCGTCTGATTCCACCGCGTCGTCACACATATGGGTACAAGAGAAAAACAAGAGATGTCAGGTTTTGGATAATTTGAGTTGTGACATGGGTTGATAAGTGTTTATGTGCTCACCTCTTCTGGCCCATCTAAGTGTTCAGGGCTAAAACCAAGTTGCCAAATATCAGGCTAGGAGAATAAGCTATATTCTGGAAACATGTGGCTGTCAGTGTCACGCATTTCGTTTTTCTCAAAATGCCAAAAAGTGACACCCCTTGTTTTTTCCTTGTGCCCTTCAAATATGTATGCATCAAAGTGAAGAACATTTCATAAATACATGCACTTTCTTCGCATTCACAGTTAATGATATTTTCTAGCACACATTGGCTTAATTAGCCAAACATGCTTTCATCACAGAACATAGAAGGCAGGCCAATACATGTACAGTGTAAACAGAAAGTGTCTGTTGTGACAAAAAAATGGTGGGAATGTTGCCGTTATTGTGACTTGGTGCCTCGCAGAAAGTAAAAGCAGACTTTTACTTGCTTCTCTTAAAATAGCCATGGCAGTAAGTGAACACACTTATAGGACCATGTTCCCAATGTAAAAGTATAAAAGTTAAATGGGGATTTACATGTACCGGTACCTGCATGGATAAAA